CAAGGTCATATTTTGGCTCTCACAGACTTCTTTTAATTGTCTTCAGCTTCAACTTGAACTTGCATATGAGCAGTTGATGGTCTGTTCCACAGTCAGCTCCTGGCCTTGTTTTGGCTGAAGATATTGAATTTCTCCATCGTCTCTTACTACAGGTGTAGTTGATCTGATTCCTATGTACTCCATCTGGCAAAGTCTAGTGTATAGCCCCATTTGTGTTGTTGGAAAAATGTGTTTGTGATGAATAAGTCATTGGTCTTGCAAAATTCTATCATGCGATCTCCAGGGTTATTTCTATCACCAAGGTGATATTTTGCAACTAGTAGTAACTCTTCTTTGTTTCCAACTTTTACATTCCAGTCACCAGTGATAATCAACACATCTTGATTGCATGTTCAGTCAATTTCAGACTGCAGAACTTGGTAGTAATCTTCAATTTCCTCATCTTTGGCTCTGGTGACTGGTGCATAGATTTGAATAATAGTAGTACTAACTGGTCTACCTTGTAGTGTATAGATATTATCCTATCACGGACAATATTGTACTTCAAGACAGATCTTGAAACAATGACACTGAAGCAAGAAGTTGAAGCTGCACTGAAGGAAATGGCAAAGAGCAAGGCTCCAGGAATTGACAGAACATTTGAGATGTTTCAACAAATGGATACCATGCTGGAGGCATTCATTCAGCTATGCCAAGAGATTTGGAAGACAACTGCCTGGCCAATTGACTGGAAGAGATCCATATTTGTACCCATTCCAAAGAAAGGTGATCCTACAGAATATGGAAATTATTGAACAATATCATTAATATCACATGCAAGTAAAATCTTACTGGAGATAATTCAAAAACAGTTGCAGCAGTATATTGACAGAGAGCTTCCAGAAATGCAAGCTGGATTCAGAAGAGGATGTGGAACGAGGGATATCATTGCTAATATCAGATGGATCTTAGCTGAAAGCAAAGAATACCAGAAAGATGTTTACTTATGTTTTATTAACTATGCAAAAGCATTTGATTGTATGGATAATAACAAATTATGGATAACATTGAGAAGAATGGGAGTTCCAGAACACTTGATTGTACTCATGAGGTGCCCATACATAGACCAGGAGGCTGTCACTTAAACAGAACAAGGGGATATTGCATGGTTTAAAATCAAGAAGGGAATGCATCAGGGATATATCCTTTCACTGTACTTATTCAACTTGCATGCTGAACAAATAGTCTGAGAACCTGGAATGTATGAAGAAGAACATGGCTTCAGGATTGGAAAAAGGCTCATTAACAACCTGCGATACATAGATGACACAACTTTGCTTGCTGACATCGAGAATGACTTGAAGCACTTACTGATGAAGATTGAAGACTATATAGTCTGCAGTATTGATTACACCTCAATATAAAGAAAACAAAAATCCTCACAACTGGTCCAATAAACAGCTTCATGATGAATGGAGAGAAGAATGCAATTGTCAAGGACTTCATATTACTTGGTTCTACAATCAACACCAATCGAAGAAGCACTGAAGACATCAAATGACGTATTACATTGGGCAAATCTGCTGCAAAATACCTCTTTCAAGTGCTGAAGAGCAAAGACATCTTCTTGAAGACTAAAGTGCACCTAACCTAAGCCATGGTATTTTCAATCACCTCTTATGTCTGTGAGAACTGGACAATGAGTAAGGAAGACCAAAGAAGAGTTGATGCTTTTGAGTTGTGGTGTTGGGGAAGAATGCTAAGAGTACCACAGACTTCTAAAAGGACTAACAAATCTGTCCTGGAAGAAGTGCAGCCAGAATTCTCCTTCAGAAGCGAGAATGGCCAGACTTCGCCTCACCTACTTTGATCATGTTGTCAGAAGGGACCATTCACTGGAGAAGAGTATCATGCTTGGTACAGTGGAGGGTCAACAAAAAATGGCAAGGCCCTCAATGATATGGATTGACACAGTGGCTGCAACAATGGGCTCAGATATAGCAAGGATCATGAGGCTGGCACAGCACTGGCCAGTGTTTCGTTCTGCTATGCATAGGGTCACGATGAGTTGGAGACAACTCGACAGCACCAGCAACAACAACATTGCACTTGGAAAATCGGCTGCAAAAGATCTCTTTAAAGTGCTGAAGAACAAAAATGTCTCTTTGAAGATTAAGTGCCCAACCCAAACCATGGTATTTTCAATAGCCTCATACATATGTGAAAGCTGGACAATGAATAAGGAAGACCTAAGAAGAGTTGATGCTTTTGCATTACAGTGTTGGCGAAGAATACTGAAAGCACCATGGACTGCCAGAAGAATGAATAAATCTGTCCTGGAAGAAATATAGCCAGAATGCTCCTCAGAAGCAAGGATGGCAACACTTCATCTCTTGTACTTTGGACATGTTATCTGGAGGGACCAGTCCCTGAAGAAGGATATCATGCTTGGTAAAGTAGAGCGTAGTTTAAAAGAGGAAGACCCTCCACAAGATGAATTAACACAGGGGCTGCAACAAGGGCTCAAGCATAGCAATAATTGCTACCATAGTGCAGGACTAGACAGTGTTTCATTCTGTTGTATGCAGATTGCTATGGGTTGGAACTAACTCAGGGCACCTATCAACAACAACAGGTTAATGAAAGAGATTTGAACTACAGAGATGGATTTGAGAACCAACAGCTGGACGTGGAATTCACAGCCAATGAGTGAAAGAGATTACTCAGGCATGGTGTTTTTCTTTTGTTTTGAATGAAATAACTTTACATTTGTGGCTTTGTATTAATAGGAGCTCTGGTTGCACAGTGCCTAAGGCATTTGACTGCTAACCAGAAAGTTGGAGGTTCAAACCCATCAGCCACTCCACAGAAGGAAGACTGGGCAATCTACTTCCATAAAGATTTACCATCTCAGAAACCCAATGTGGATAACAATGGACTTAAGCATAGCAATAATTGTGAGGACAGTGCAGGGTTAGGCAGTGTTTCATTCTATTGGACACAGGTCACTGAGTTGGAACCAACTTGAGGGCACCTATCAACCATAACAGGTTAATGAAAGAGATTTGAACTACAGAGATGGATTTGAGAACCAACAGCTGAGCATGGAAGTCAAAGCCAATGAGTGAAAGAAATCACTCAGGGATGGTGTTTTTCTTTTGTTTTTATTTTGAATGAAATCTCTTTACATCTGTGGCTCTGTATTAATGTTTCTCCCATTGATTAGTGGCAGGGATTTGTTATTTTTCTTGAATTTGCTTCCTATCTCCCCCCTTAACAAACAATTATTAAGTATATGCATTCTGCCACCTGCTGGGAAAATGGATAGAAAAGCCTACGTTACCTTTCCAGTGCTTCTCTGACCTCTCACGAAGGGCCTGGCACTCTCACCTCTTCACAGTCTTCTCATGCTGTCACTTCTTTAAATTATTAGAGTATAAACTCTTTTGTCACATTAGATAGTGCCTAAGGCACTTGACTGCTAACCAGAAAGCTGTCAGTTCAAACCCACCAGCCACTCCTCCAAAGGAAGCTTGGGCAATCTACTTCCTTACTGATAACACCTCAGGAAACCCAAAGAGGGGTTGCTACGAGTGGGGCCAACTCCACAGCACATAACAACAACAAAAGAGCAGAAAGAGAGCTCTGATGGCGTAATGCCTAAGGCATTTGACTGCTAACCAGAACGCTGGCAGCTCAAACCCACTGCCACTCCTTGGAAGGAAGATTGGGCAATCTACTTCTGTAGTGATACCACCTCAGAAACCTAAGGAGGGGTCGTTTTGAGTCCAATCAACTCCACAGCAGTGAGTTTGGTCTTTTTTTTTTCTTTGGAAGGGCAGAAAAAGGAGGTCTCAAGGCGCGGTGCCTAAGGCATTTGACTTCTAATCAGAAGGATGGTGGTTCAAACCCACCAGCTACTCCGCAGAAGGAAGATGGGGGAAGGAAAACGGGACAATCTACTTCGACAAAGATTTACCACTTCGGTAACGCAATGGGGGTCCTTATTAGTCGGAATTGACTGGACGGCAATGGGTTTTTGGTAAGGGCAGAAAGGGAGCCTTGGGGAACAAGGTTTGCAATTGGCTGCTAACATAAAGTTAATGCTTAGAATCCACCCAGCACCTCTGTTGAAGAACCAGCCTGAGGAGCTATGATCTGCTTTCATAAAGATTATAGCCAAGAAAACCCTATGGAGCCACCCTACTCTGTAATACATGGGGTCACAGTTTTGGTGGTTTTTGTATTGTTTTTAAGGACAGTGACCTTGTGTCTTATTCTCTGCAGAATGCCAGAGACTGAATAGTGCCTGGAACAAAGAATATTTATTAAATTAACGAATGAAAAAGAGCAAAGTTTGATATACAAACTTGACAAGGATGACTCTGATGTTGTTACCTGCCGTGGAGTCAGTCCTGACTCATAGTGATCCCTCTTTGGGTTTCCCAAGTATTGCTAAGAAAGTAGATTGCCTCATCTTCCTTCCCAGGAGTGGCTGGTGGGTTTGAACCGCCAGCCTTCTGGTTAGCAGTCAAGTACCTTAGGCACTACACTACCAGAGCTCCTAGGGTGACTCTTAGAAACTAATATAACAAACAGCACAAAAGACACTGTTGTTCTGGCTAATTTTATTTCCAATGTATTAACTGAATTAAGAGAAAAATAGGCAAGCAGAGAGTAATGATGACTGAGTAAAAAAAAATCCAATGCAATCAAAAGTCAGTAAATAAAAAGTGAAATACATTAGGCCCAGAATGTATGAGAACAGAACACCATGAGAACAGAAAACCATGGGTGGAGCAAGGGCAGGCCTACTTCTCTGCGGGGGTGCGGGGCTGAAGCAAAGCCGCTGGTTAAACCTGGACAACCTGAGAACAGAGCTGTGACTGCGCAGGCGCTTAGACCGCGGCGCCAGTCTAACTTAACCGGAAATGACGCATGTTATGCTGAAACCGGCTCAAGGAGGGTTTGAGCAAATCGAGTAGGTGAGCGGTGCAGACCATTGGAGTTGTGCATCCGCTATGACCTGCACCATCGAAAAGATCCTGACAGACGCCAAGACGCTGCTGGAGAGGCTACGGGAGCACGATGCAGCCGCCGAGTCTCTGGTGGATCAGTCGGCGGCTCTGCACCGGCGAGTGGCAGCTATGCGGGAGGCGGGGGCAGCGCTTCCGGACCAGGTCAGGCAAAGAGTGGGGATCTGCGCCTTCGGGTTCTGGGCGCTTGATGTGTGGAGTATGAGGTAAAGTGGGAACTCCGCCTGGAATTTGTTCCCGTTCTCAGAGGGCGGCAGTGAGACACCATCCGAGTTGGGGCTGACAACACTGCCTGGTACCTCTTCAGATGTATCTGCCCCTGTTTTCGGCGCACTTAGTCTGTTTCTGTTTGTCCAGTATCAGGAGGATGCATCCGATATGAAGGACATATCCAAATACAAGCCTCACATTCTGCTGTCCCAAGAGAATACACAGATTAGAGACTTGCAGCAGGAAAACAGAGGTTAGTCAGTCTTTTTGTGTAATTGTAATTTTTTTCTTTCCAGTAGCAGTTCATAAGTTCTTATGAAACTGCCTTAACTGTTCACAAATGTGCGCATGCAATATGTATGCCCAGGTAAATGCTTTTTAAAGGAGTTAGCCTGTCCTGTCCCAGTAACAATATAGTTTGTTAAATTATCTTTTTCAAGGTCATCTGACTGATTTTGTGTTTATAGACAATTCATTAAAGAGGAGCTTAAGAGAGTTGATGGGAGCGCCTGTGGTGGCATAGTGCCTGAGGCGTTTGACTGCTAAGCAGAAGGCTGGCAGTTCAAATCCACCAGCCACTCCTCGGAAGGCAGACTGGGCAGTCTACTTCCGTAGAGATACCGCCTCAGAAACCCAAGGATGGGTCACTGTAAGTTGATTGACTCGACGACAGTGAGTTTGGTTTTTTGGAGTTTGCCTATAAGTTATTTTCACGTAAACCTTAGCTCTTTGGTTTTGTGGACTTTAACTTACAACTGTGGATTCACAATATCTCGTGGAGTATTACAAAATTCCAACTGTTAAGAGTTTGGTTTTGGGATATTTCTCGCAGACATCACTGCCAAGTTATTTTTTGATAGAGCTATGGGTTTCCTTGGAGGAACACCAGGATGCCTTGGAACTCATCATGAGCAAGTACCGGAAACAGATGTTACAGTTGATGGTTGCTAAAAAAGCAGTGGATGCTGAGCCAGTCCTGAAAGCTCACCAGTCTCATTCTGCAGTAAGAAATTTTGATGAGTAAATTCTAAATTGACTGAATTAAAATTTGGAAATTGTTTTAGATTTTATGTTTCCAAACAAAAATAACCTTGTCTTCCTTTCATATTTATCACATTTGCTGTTTATTTTCCTTTAGCTTTGTTAAGATATAAATAAAAAGAAGAGGCTGAAAAGGTACTTGGGTCTTTTTATTTGAGTGGATCAAATTTCCCTCTCTGCTTCTACCCCACCAAGATCTTTTTTCAAGATGTTAATGAATGCTTAGCTCTTCCACCAAACATAATGCCTGTTGGTGTTGAAGGTGTCAAACTGAACTACATAGCATCATACTAAATTATTGGAGAATAGTGTTTAAAAAATGTATGTAGCATAATTTCTACAGTTAGGATGCTTATGATTTAATTTAGGAGACCCAGTAATTGTTCTTATGTTTACAGGGTGCTTCATAGTTGTCATGGTACATTCACTTGTACTATGTCATTTAATCCTAGGTTAACAGATAGAGGCTTCACTGTTTGCTGCAATGGAACTTGCTGATAAATTTCATCCTAGATTCTGACTTTGCTGACTGAATGGAAGTCTTAGGGAATAGAAACAGCTACATTTAAATATTTTAATGGCTTTCATCTAGAGGAGAAAAATGAATTTTACTTTCTGTGGTCCAAAGGATAAAACTGGGACCAATCCACTGAACCTTGAAGGATATATTTTAGGTGATACAGGAATATTTTCTAAGAGAGATGTCCTAAGATGGAAGAGGGCACCCTGAAATGTGGTAAGCTTCTTGTCAATAAGAGAGTTAAAATTTAAATTAAGGAGCCACTTAGAGATATTGTCCAACATCTGTTGGTTGGTTTCGCTAGAACTGGCTTTTTGAAGACAAAAATTATTTGTGGATATTACAAGGCCACTTTATTATGGCTTTACTCCAGAGGACTCAGATTATATAGTGAAGCTCCAGAACTTTTTAAAGTCATAATAAATATGTTTACATAATAAGCTTTATACCTGCAGTAAAGATTACGTTTTCACTTTTTCCTTCTTAATATCGTCACAGGAAATTGAAAGTCAAATTGACAGAATTTGTGAAATGGGAGAAGTGATGAGGAAAGCAGTTCAGGTTGATGATGACCAGTTTTGTAAGGTTCAGGAAAAACTAGCCCAATTAGAGGTAAGAGTGTTAGGTTCACAATATTTCAGAGAGTTTTCATGGTATCTGGAGGATATGTATGTTATCACTGTTCTGTCACTGTAATGTATTGATGTTTTTATGTGCTTATGATTTAAAATTAAAACTCCTCTCCATTCCTTTTCAGAAAAGGAAATGTGATAGGCAACAAACAATGAAAATACCAACTATAGGTTGGCTAGGAGTTGAAATACTATCATTTTGGGAGGGTGGAGCGTATGGGAGGGACAGGTTGTATGTGAGCTAAAATCCCTCATCTACCATAAGAAGTCAGGTGACAATGTCTAAACCTAATGATCAGAAGTTGTGTAGACATATTATCCAGAATCATGAAAATAAATACTAAAAGAAATAGGTGAAAGTATTAAAACTGGTTGCCTTTGTGGGAATAAAGCCAAGCTACTACTGTTTGTTTTATAAGCTATTCTTCACTTATCAACATGGTGAGGTTCCAAAGACCACCAGGTCATTGTGTGAAAATCGGCATTATGCGAAAATAGTGGATAACTACATCACAAAATGGAGGGTGACTACATTTTTATGTAACTGTCAAGCCACTGAGAATCATGGCCTAGCCAGGTTCACTTAAAACATTATAACCATCATAGCCAGCATTACTCTTGCCTTGAACTGCCTCAAACCTCAGCATTCATTACTATCAGATGTACATCATTAATGCACAAAAGAGATAATTACTATGGTTATTAAGTGCAAAATGTTGGGTAATGAGATAGTCAATAAATGAGGAGTAGGTGTATTTCTTGTTGATATTTTAAAAACAAATTCACAGAAAGACTTGGGGTGTAGTTTGCCCATAAAATCATCTAAAAAAAATAGTAGATGGTTTGAGTGCTGCATATTACAAGTTTTGTCATGGTCCCTTTGAGAAATACCAAAGAGAAAAAAGATAGGGTCCCTGCCAATAGGAGCTCAGAGTCTAAGGGAGGAAGTAAGACTAGTATTTATATGATATAAAATGGTACATAAGGGCCAGGAGAGAGACTAAGTACTGAGGAAAGTACTTTATATGGTAGATGACCAGTTGGTAAAGCCTGAAAATGTAATGTTTTACCATAATTTCCTACAGAGAAAATAAGGATGAAGAGTGTAAACTGCCCTATCTGGAAGTTAAAGAGAATGATAAGGTCCCAAGTAGGAGTTACAAGTTAGTTAAATAGTAGGACAATTTTGTCAGCACTATTCCTGATTTACCCTAGTTACGGAAACAACTTTAGGGAAATGTGGGTCAGTTTTCACTTACTACTGTAAATGGAAAAAAGCATGTGCATTAGATTCAGATGCTAGCAATATTACATCTTAGTTCTGCATAGGGTAAATTTTTTGAGTCCTGAGCCTCAGTGTCTTCATCTTAAATAGAACGTCCATGTCAGCAATGATATCTACATTACTGATTGTTGTGAAATAACATATAAATCATCACATGGTGCCTGACCATATGCTCAGTAAGTTTCTTCTCCTGCTTTTCTGAAAAGATTATTTTATTTACTTGGAAGATAGAACAAACAATAGTAAACCTGTAGGAACCATGAAGAATATGACAAAAAGTCAGTCTCTCAAGTAGAGAGAGACCATATTTTATTTATCTTTGTAGACCTAACACACTGGGCATATAGAAATACTCAGTAACTGTTTGTAAAATGAGTAAGTAGTATTTTAGGAAGTTATCAACCAGTAGCTTTTGGGTTTTTTTTGTTAATCCTTAAAACTTTTAAAATTAGTATGTTTGTATGGCCCAAAACAAAGTATTTTGATGCAGCCTGACAGTAAAAACACCTGAAATTAACATAGACTTTTTTTTTTCCCTCCCTCAGCTTGAAAATAAGGAACTTCGAGAATTAGTATCTATCAGCAGTGATTCTCTTCAGTTCAGGAAAGAAGATTCAATGGACGCTGCCTCCCAAGCCATCAAATAACTCACCTCCTGAATGATAATGGAGATTTTCTGTGAAGCAAAGAAGTTATTATCTTTCTGTTGGAGTATTGTCTGTTCAGTGTCTTGCATCAGGCATGAGTTAGTATTGCTTAAAGGTCCCAGGTGGCAATTTAGAAGTGCTAGTCAACATCGGCTGCCCACAAAACAATTTCCTAGTATATTAGTGAAAAGATGCACTGACTTTCACCATTCCTTTCTCCAAGAAACTACTTTTAATTTACATTTCTGGGGCTTCAATTTACATAAACTCTTTTCAGTTCATTTTCATTTTTTTACATCTCTGAAAGAGCATTTTATTATAAACCAACAAATTTATTTTACATAGGAATGTAAAATGCAGTTCTAAAGAATTTTAAACAGATGTAACTTTTAAAATTTTATTTTATTTTGCATAAACCTGAATTTTTCCCATTTAACAAAAATGATACAGTTCTAGAACTAGAATGGCAGATTGTCTTGACTTGTAATGTCATTTACCTTTCTGAAGTTTTAAGTCTCTTTGGTGCTAAGTTACCACATTGTGTCCCTGTATCTTCACTCTTAATTTCAGAGGATTACTGCTAGTCTCCAGGAAACATATTTGAAAATAGGTTAACTGGTTTTTTTTCTGGTTGTAGTATGGTTGCCATATTCAAAGAATGCTGAGAAACTTGTCCTTGTATATGTTTGTGTGCACACATGCACACTTAGTCCAAATGCTAAAAAGTAGCTTTTATTTATTCTGTTAAATTTAAGTAGTCAATTTTTCATTCATGTCCTTCTAGGAAATCCTCAATTTAAGTCATTTACCCAGTATAAAGAGCACATTGTTGTTCTTATGTGCCATCGAGTCGGACCCAACTCATAGCAACATAGTAGGCTTATTTCCACTATAGTTCTTAGCTACTAAATCTTAAGAGCTATCAGCTAGATAGATGTCTGTCATTACTATCACTAGTGCTTGGCTTTCTTTTTAGGTCCATTTGTCACAGTAACAAAGTTTTTCACTTAAAGATAATTACCATATTCACAGTGCTGTGTAGACAACAACAAAGCAGTGTTGGGAATGAAATACTCAACTAGGCTTACTCATCAACTTATTCCTATCTCCCAGTTTACTCTTCAGATTTACCAATTGCTTCATGTTATACTATCTATTTCAGTTTTTTCACAAATAAATGAAATTCTTAATGCTAAACTTGTCAATATTTTCCAATAACACTAAGCACCATGTAGCTACAGTATTAAAAAGCATTTTTGCTAGTGCTTTATATGATGCAGAATTTCTTTTGGACAGTCACAAAAATACACTGTACTTTTGGACAGTCGTCAGCTAAGAAAACAAAATCTCTCCAAGATGTCCTAAAAGCAGCTGGTCCCAGCAATAGCAATGGACTTTACTTAGAATAGTGGGTTTTAATGAATAGGTGTATGTAATCAGGTGTTAACAAATTTCTATTTGATGTCCTACATGGAATTTGACTAAAAAATGCATCTACCCCTACATGAGGGCATGTTTATTTTACTCTCCATGTAAATAAACTTTTAGTCCAGCTCTTTGCGTTAAAATATGCCACCATGTGTCCCACAAGTCCATTCAAGAGGCAGAACCCCAGGCCAATTGTCAGCCACGATGGCTAGATGTCAATGGATATGATAAAGTAATCAAATGGCTCGTTAAAGTATAACATGGTATTCTTTTTGTCATCTGCTTTATGTACCTTTAGAGCTATTTATAATGTTCTTTACAACTCAAGTTTCAGAATAAATTATGTTAACTTTGCCCCCTGATAAATGAAAACCTTAAAGTATGAGTCCAAAGGCAGTATTTAGGGCTTTCAGTGCCCTACATAGGTATGTTCTTGACTTTGATTTGAGTAGATAATAAAGTTGGTTTTGCAGTGGATAGAGGAACTTAACTGGTTTGCAAAAATGTTAGTACAACATTTTCTAATAAAAACCTTATTTTGAGAAGACAAGATAATTTTACTCAATGAGTAATTACTGGGAAGTACAGAGGATTTTTCCTGTGTGTGTGTGTGTATAAGGAACTTTATCAAGTAATCAAAATGGAAGTTTTCATATTAGTACAATAAATTCGGTAGTACAGCTGTACAAATAGTTGTTGCTGAAATGCTGTTAGAGGTATCATAGCATGATTAGAAATCATAAATTATAAGCCTAAGTTTGGAAGTATTTTGGAAAATGTTTCAATAGGTCAGCATTTATCTTATTTCCTTGATTTATATTAGTGCTTTATGAATAATTTGGTTCAAAATTGAAGCTCTCTCTTAAAATGTGGTTCACTGACCTACGTGGAATTGGAGATTGGAGCTCAGGAATTTGTATTTCAGTAAGCATCCCAGGTAACTCCAAGAACACTAGTTAAGGAATATCTAGTATGCTTTGTGCTGGGTATTTCATTAGGAGTTAATGATAGAAAAATAAAGCATTGACACTGTTTTCAAAGAAAAGTTTAGAAGGAGAGACAAACAGATAGGCATATAATTATAGTGCAATGTGATAAATCTGATAAAAGTAGTATAGAATACACAGGAGGGACTGTTTTAACTTCAAAATTCAATAGAGATAATTAGGTAGGAGGAAAACTAGGAAAGTTTGGTGTCACAAAAGCAGAAAGAGGATGGTATTGCCAATAATACTTATTCTGTGCTTTATTGTATGTCAGGTGTTATATAATCTGCATTTCAACTGTACAAATACCCAGGCACAAAGAGATTATATTGTTTGTCCAAAATTCAAACCCAGATTCAACCATTTTAACCACAAAGTTATGTTGCCTTTAAATGCTAAATACTGCTGAGCTCAAGTGTTTCTTGACTAGTAAAATCTATTTTTATTGATACTGGAAAACAAACACTAAACCATATATATATATTTTAAAAGTATCATGAATTCAGTGAATGGAATTTTAACTAATGAGATAAAATTGTTACCTGTTTTCTACTATGACGTAGCCAAAAGTATTTGTGCGTGCAGCTGACAAGTTGTTGTTGCTACGTGCCGTTGAGTCAAACCCAACTCATAGCAACCCCTCCTTGGGTTTCCGAGACAGTATCACTACAGAAGTAGGATTGCCCAACCTTCCTTCCGAGGAGTGGCTGGTGGGTTTGAACCACTAGCCGTCTGGTTAGCAGGCAAGTGTCTTAGCCACTAGCTACCAGAGCTCCCCAGCAGCTGACAAGAGTAATGCACAATTATTTCATCAGTGACCATTACTACATGCAAGAAAGGGTGAGGTTTTGCCTTTCACCTCTTTAGCACGTTGGCTTTCATCCCTCATGGTTTTCTTGTGGTGGCAAAAAGGTTGTTGCTGTGCTACATGTCATGTCCTTGTTGAAGGGAGAGACGTAAGGAGGTGAGAAATGGCCTGTCCTAGCTATATATACCCTGTTTTATCAAGAAAAGCAAAGTTTTTCCAGAAATTCCAGAGTTTTCCCCTTTTGTTACTTGCCTGGCCTCTCACATGGCCGTTTTAGCTGCAAGAGAGACTGAGTACATTGCCGCCCGGATAAAATCACTATTTTATTAGCGAAGAGGAAAGAATAATTGAGAAAGCAATTAACGTGTCTTACATAAGTTCTTCAATAAGTGTAATTAATAGATGCCACCACTCATCTGTCAGTTTGTCATACTGTGGTGGCTTGTGTGTTGTGATGCTAGAAGCTATGCCAGCAGTATTTCAAATAACAGGGTCTCCAATGGTGGAAAGGTTTCAGCAGAGCTTCCAGACTAAGACAGACTAGGAAGAAGGACTCGGCAGTCCACTTCTGGAAAACTTGGCCACTGAAAATTTTATGAAAAGCAGTGAAACATTGTCTGATACATTACTGGAAACTACAGATAGCAGTGAAACATTGTGTAGTGCTAGAAGATGAGCTTCCCAGGTTGGGTTGTGTTGTTAAGTGCCGTCGAGTTGTGTCTGACTCATAGTGGCCCTATGCACAGCAGAACGAAACACTGCCCGATCCCACACCAGCCCCACAATC